AATTTCAAGAACGTGATTCTGGGTGGATATTAAAACATGCAATGTTTTTGGATGTGAACATTAATAAATTCTCATCGATTTCGGCCTCCTCATACATCAAGCTGCCCAAAGCCATTGAATCGAGACTAGCTGTTCTGAATATTAAAAACAAGGATAGAGCCTGCTTTGCATGGTCCATCATTGCTGCGATCTTTCCTGCAGACGGTAATCCAATTAGAACGTCATCATATCCACATTACAATACCCTGTTGAATTTTCAAGGGCTTGTCTTTCCCATGAAATTGAAGGCTATCCCAAAGTTCGAGCGACTCAACAATATCTCAGTTAATGTGTTCGGTCTTGAATCGTCTTTCAATGATGGAAAGATGATAAGTGAAATAATTGGACCTCTACATTTTACATCGTGTCGTCAAGCAACACATGTGAATTTGCTACTTGTGGCCGATAAGGTTGGCAACACACATTATTGCCTAATAAAAGACCTAGGCAAATTAGTTGGGAAACAAAAATCGAATCACAATGGTAAAATATATATTTGCGATGGATGCCTACAATCGTTCGCAACACTGGCGCAGTTGGGAAGTCATGAGGAAAATGACTGTAATCATACGAGCACAAAGATACCCACCACCAATTTGAAAATCAATAAATATGGTGAATCAGTGCCTGAAAACATCCTCAAATTCACTAACTTTGAAAAACAACTGTCACCACCGTTTGTGATTTATGCTGACTTTGAAAGTTTACTCAAACCAATACAACACAATGAACCCTGTGACGATAAATCATTTTCAGTTAAAGTATGTGAACATGAACCATATTCGTTCGCGTTTTATGTAAAATGTAGTTTTGATGACCGTTACTCAAGGTATGTACTTTATCGCGGTGCAGATGCTGCTGACGTTTTTGTGAGAAAGTTGGATGAAACCGTTCAAGATTTATACATGAATCACATGAAGGATGTTCGTGAAATGCATCCACTTACTGAGATAGAGAAGCAAGGTTTCCAAAATAGTACTACGTGCCATATTTGTGGAAAGCCATTCAAGCCAACAGATATCAAAGTTCGTGATCACTGCCACCACACTGGAAAATTTCGTGCAGCTGCCCATAGTGTTTGTAATTTGAACTACAAGACCTCAAAGACTATTCCAGTATTCTTCCACAACCTCACAAATTATGATTCTCATCTTTTCATCAAGAAATTAGCAACGAAAGGAGAAAGAATATCAGTGATAGCCCAAACTAAAGAAAAGTATATTTCGTTCTCCAAGTCAGTATTGGTTAATAAATCTGAAGTGTCAAGAGTATTTGATGAATATATTCAGTTGAGATTTGTAGACTCCTTTCGATTTTTACCAAAATCTCTCGACAAACTCAGCAAAAATTTAGAGGTGCAGCAGTGTAACGAGGTTCGGAAATACTTTCAAGATAACAAACAATTTGATCTAATAAGACAAAAAGGAGTTTTTCCTTACAACTATGTGGACTGCTTGGAAAAATTGAAAGAAACTCAACTACCGCCGAAAGAAAAGTTCTATAATGAATTAACCGGCGAATCACTTTCAGACATGGATTATAATAGAGCTATAGATGTGTGGAATACCTTCGAATGTAAAACATTGGGAGATTACGCCGATGTTTATTTGAAATCCGATTGTCTGCTGCTAGCGGACGTTTTTGAGAATTTCAGAAAATGCTGCATGCAACAATACAAGCTAGATCCTGCCCACTATCTGACAGCACCTGCACTGAGCTGGGATGCTATGTTACGTTATACACAAATTGAACTTCAGCTCTTGACTGATATAGATATGATACATTTTTTCAAGAAGGGTATTCGAGGAGGGGTGGCACAATGTAGCAAAAGAAGAGCTGTGGCAAATAACAAATTCCTACCAAACTTTGATTCTCAGAAACCAACATCATACATCATGTATTTGGATGCAACAAATTTATATGGAGCAAGTATGGCAAGTCATCTTCCAACAGGTGATTTTAAGTGGGTCGAGTCTGAGGATATCGAAAACTTTGACTGTCACGCGATCGAGGACGACTCATCAAAAGGATACGTTTTAGAAGTGGACTTGGAATATCCAGCCAACCTACACCATGATCACAACGATTTACCATTTTGCCCAGAACAAATGATCCCGCCAAAGAGTAAGAGTGCCAAACTGATCCCCAATTTACGAAACAAATGCAAATACATTATACATTACCGAAATTTGAAGCAGTGTTTGATATATGGTTTGAAACTAGAGAAAATCCATAGAATCTTAGAATTCTCCCAATCGGCGTGGTTGAGGCCATATATTGACCTGAACACGCACCTCCGGAATTCCGCAGTAAACGAATTTGAACGAGAACTCTTCAAATTATTGATAAATTCAATATTTGGAAAAACCATGGAAAATGTCGACAAAAGAATTGACTTGCAACTTTGCTCACGCTGGGAAAATAAGACAAATTCTCTGGGGGCAAGGGCTTTGATAGCCAAACCACATTTCAAATGCAGTACAGAATTCAGTGAGAACTTGGTTGCAATTCAGTTGGAAAAGACTAGTGTATGTTATGATAAACCGATGTATGTTGGATTTTCGGTATTGGATATTTCGAAAACTGTCATTTACGATTTTTTCTATGGATATATCAAAGCAAAATATGGTGATAAAGCAACATTATGCTACACCGATACGGATTCATTAATTCTAGAAATATTCACAGAAAATTTCTATAATGATATGAAAGAAAATATCCAATTTTTCGATACGTCAAATTATCCCATAGACAATATACACCAAATCCCCAAATCGAAATCTGTTATAGGACGCATGAAAGATGAATATGCCGCAAGACCTATTGAATCTTTCTATGGTACTGGTGCGAAAGCATACTGTGTAAAAGCAGGTGATGTGATGAAAAAAGCCAAAGGTGTCTCAAAAAACGTGGTCAAAAACCAAATTCAGTTTTCAGACTATGTGAATATTGTAGAAAATGGTGGAACAATATTACGTAAGATGTATATGTTCACTTCTTCTCTCCACACCATTCATACGGAATTAAGAAATAAAGTCGCTTTGTCATCTGCTGATGATAAGCGTTATAAAATTCCTTCTGATGTGAAAACTTTGGCTTGGGGTCATTTCCTTATAACACCAGGAGCTATCACTGGAACTTTAGATGAGTTTTTGGAAATAGCTCAAGATTTGATTGACGAGGAAGACTCTGACCAATAGTTTTGATGTGATTTTCATTTGTATATTGTAATTATGGATTATAATATGTAGTATTTGTGACATATGAAATAAAAATCATTATCGAGTGAATTTGTTTTATTACATTTATTCAATACAAAATATTAATATTATCCACATCGCTCGAGGCCCCATCTACAAACATGACAGCTTGATTGTGCTTGAGGAAGGCCGTCTACATGATCTCTCCATTCAGGGCGATTGAAGTGGACAAAGCATGGTAGCTGGATACGAAGTTCAAAATTCTCTGTATATTTTGATGGCAGTTTGTCCCATGCATAGAGAAGTTCCATCGGACCTACATTTTTAATAAGATAATGTAGTGGAAAATTCTGGAGCTCTTCTTCGGTAAAATCGTACAATTTTTTATTTCGGTTTCGGTGTTTATTCACGAGTTCGGTCAATAAACAGTTAGGGCAATCTTTAGACATGTTGTAACAATGAGGTTGAACAGCAACAATGATGCACACACTGCTGTGTAGTACGTAACCCAATCGACTATTCTGAATTCCGCATCATCCTTCATTATAGTTGTATCATGGTGTAGTGGGGGGGAGGGATTTAGTTCACACCAGTCAGAATCAATGGTGGAGCCACTGCCCTTTCGCAATCGCAACTTGTACATAGTGCTATTGCTGGGTATGAGTGATTTGAGAGTTGAAACATTATTTATTGTAGTTGATTCCATTCTTGCCCATTTAGAAGGCCAACTTTCATTTCGTGTACCATCACTATCGAAACATATGAATACTTCTCTTATATTATAAGGTTTTGCGATATAGAGAAAGCCTTGAAGAATCACTTGTAAAACTAAACATTGTGGTGTGATCATGGTCACAACTTCTGATAAACTGAAATCATCATCTACTTTCAAGTCATATTTATTGAAACTGGTAAGATACAGGATATTCATTTCATTTATCAAAGTCTCATTTTCCCGTTACATTAGAAAATCTATGCTGATTCTGAAATACTTTTTCATCCCAGACTTGCTGTTCTTCTAGGGTCAGCATATTTTTAATTTGACTATGCCGTATTCTCTCATCCATTCGGAATTTCCGTTTTTCCCTTCTGCTCTTGCCAGGTGGTGGACATCTGATAATGTCTTTGTCCTCGACATTCGGTACATAAGTGGAATAATCATCATTATCCCAGTTCTCTTCAATTTTCTCCGTTTTTTCAGAAATGTTCATGGTTGGGGGACAGCAGTACTAATGAAGGATCCTTCGCGTAAGATCTGACGACTTTTATTGGCCTCGTTTGCTTGCAAAGACGTTTGCACAATTCAATTGTCAATTTTGGTCTGCTCAACCAACAACCACTTGATAGATATGTTCGATTGATAATTTTTTTGCAAACACAACACTGTTTTGTTTCGACCACACGATAATCACCACTTTGTATAAATATATCCAATAAGTCTCTATCTTGCATGTTCACTAATGAAATCAAGACTACACCAGAGTATTTATAGCCAAACTAGAAGGGAGTGTTCAATTTGAAAATTATCACACAATTGAAGATAATTAGTCTGATGAATCCATTGATTAATTCATCTGATGGAGCATTTCGTTAATCAATATAAATTAGTCTGATGACCTTTGCCCGGTCATCAATTAACATTAATAAATATCAATTGAAGCTGTAATGATTCTCTCAATATATATCGAGCGCTGTGATTGGTTGCCTGATGCCGTGATGCCGGTAATGATTCTCTCAATATATATCTACTTTCTTCTGCAGGAATCAGAAGATCCCGAAGCTAGGAAAAGAGTCTGTGAGGTACCTGGTGAAGCTGAAGACGATTTCGTTTTGGGGTTGTAACGTAGAGACGGTGGAGGCGGGAGCTTTCAAAGGGGTGCCGCAGTTGAAGAATGTGCAGATTTCCTTCAGCAACCTCAAGAAGATACGGATGGGTAAGTACCTACACTAAAGTGAAAAGTGAGATCCATTTGTTGGATCGTTTGTAAAATAGTTATGTCCACTAATTTTTCCTATAAACTCTGAGCGTCTTAGGTTCAAGAGTTAGTAGATATCAGTCTTCGAGGCCGAAACGTCAACATAACTATTAGTAGCTCTGTGATCTGTTCGGTTGAATCCTACGTTGATATTTAAACCATAGTTATCTTTAGTCGTAAGCTGAATCATGAATACTGCTAGTTGCACAAAAGTGACCAATAAATTGTATCAGGTATACTGGCGGATGATGCAAATGTATGGAATATTGCTTTTTTTTTCTTCAAAAATACGCAATTTTTGAGGAAATAGTTTTAATTTCTGTTTATTTTTTTATTACAATACAATGAAATTATAATACATCTTCAAATTGATGAACTTTAGTAATGATACAATGTGGAAGCTAATGAGCAGTAGTTTGCATTGTCCGCTCCGATGCGTTTCTTTATTTGTTATTACTGTATCTCCACAACCAATAATAATAAAGATTTCGATTAGTTCTGTTTCTGAAAATTTCATTGTTGGATTCGAATATTTTTATGAAAATAATATGAAACAAATTCTATGATATACCTACTACATGATTAAATTCAAATTAGAGTTCAGAACATTCTCAATCAATGTATTTTTGTTTTCTAAATAGATGATCAATCCTCAGTAGCAGACTTCTGCAAAATTCAGTTCAACAAATGAGCATTATTCATTGTAACTGATTCAATCTTTTAATACAACCCTTCGAATGGAGTGCCACATATGACCTCTGCCTCTGCTTTTAGTACTCAAAAAATTCGTCCAAGACGATTCATACATTTGTGGCATACGTATGTCACCGCTATACCTGTCTATTTTGCTGAGCCCTCTGGACAATTCAATCATCTTCCCCATTTCAGCATATACGTATTAATAATCAATACGGATAATCTCTATCTGTTTCCATAGCGAAACATGAAGCCGAAGACAAATGACTATCCATAAGGAAAAGTGAGATACGATCAGACACATACTGCTTTGATTGAAAGAAATTGAAAGGCTAGTTAACGTCATTGTCCACCGAAACGCATGTCTTTGATGACTACTATAATAGCGCATGACGCATGCGTATCATGCCACCAAATCCTTATGGATATTCATTTGTTTCATATTTTTGGCTTCATCCTGGCACCCGTTATGATCCGTATTGTTTATTAATACGTATATGCATTTCAGGCGTGTTCAACCCAATAGAAACACTCGAACTCCTCCGGATCCACGACAACCGGATCGACACCATCGACGACCAAGCGTTCGCCAATCTCACATCGCTCAAAAAAATCTACGCCGGCAACAACGCTCTAAGCTACTGGCACAGTAACTGGTTTCGCAACTCCACCAACCTGCAAACCATGGATTTCCACAACAACAAAATCCGCACCCTGCCCAGGAGAGCTTTCGCGACTTTGCCCAAATTGAAGCGCATCAACCTCGACTGGAACGAAATCTCCGCCATCGAATCGGAAGCCTTCCGAGGCCTGAAGAAGCTCCAGTACTTGGGCTTGGGGAACAACAGACTCACTGTCATCCACGAGAGCGTTTTCCCTAGCAACATCCAGATCAGCACGCTGCTGATCAACGCCAACTACCTCAACTACCTGTCCGGCGAGCTGCTGAACAAGGTGTCCGTCTTGGAGGTCTTCCTGGACTACAACCCCTGGAAATGTCCCTGTTTGAAGGAGATTTACGCGTGGATTCACTCCACGAACGGCGCTTTGCGAGTGTACGATGGGTGCGGTTCGAATCACGTGCCGGTGTGTGCCAATAGGAAGAGCTTGTTGCAGTGCTCGGAGAACGTGGACGAAGAGTTAAGCAGACGGTATTTAGGGGTTTTCGCGAATTTGACCAAACCTTTGGCGAGTGGTTGCGTAAGGACAGATTAATGGTTGATTAAATATAGGGAATGTTCTTTAGCCTTCTTTATGTCTTCATTGTAGGATAGTTGGCGAGACTCTCAGTGTAGCTCTACCAATCTCGCTCTTGGCTTTAGTATTTCGATTCTCATCAATTATATTGACAAATGAATTCACTACACCTCACGATACGTCCCTAATAGCACACAACGTCCTAGGGACGTCCCTATTTGGTGCAATTCACGTCCGAATGTCCCGAACCAAAAATAAGTGTCCTTAGGACGTCCCATTCCGTACATCTCATGCAATCTCCGAGCAAGGACGTCCACGGAATCTCCCAGCTGGTACATCATTTCAAATGTCCAAGAAATAGCATCCCTTAGACGTCCCACGTGGTACATATTGTAGAATGTCCATGCAAGCCTTGGCATGTCCCTGATGGGATATGATTTGAAACGTTCCTTTAGGGACATCCATCGGATGTCCCGAGTAGTACATATTCTGGCATGACTTCAGATCTTATATAATGTCCCTTCTAGACAACCATGAAATGTCCCTGATGGTGCATTCCTTCAAATATCTCTGCACAGACGCCCCTAATATTTCCAGGATCGTATAACAATCGAAATGTCCCTTAGGGACATCGTTCAAATGTCCCTTAGGGATATCCGTCGGATGTCCCAATTGGTACATGAACTGTACTCTTCCAATGTCCTAGAAATAACGTCCTATGGACGTCCCAGTCGGTACTTTCAATATGTTGTCCCTGCGAGGACGTTTACTTACACCTCGCCGACGAATGATTGCTCGTAGGCTATAAGTACTCCTCGTCAATGTCCTTCACGTAAGTCCATTGGACGTCCGTGGGAAACTTTTTGGGGACCTTCTATGGACCATCAACTCAACTGGATGTCCTAATCAGTTATGCAAGATCTGGTCCTAGAGGGACCCAGAAAAATTCAAATTCAAGAATAATTCGTACGTACCTGGGACATCCAATTGATATCCCTCAGCGTTGCTGATAGGTTGTCCTATGGATGTCCTCTGTAGTGCTTGATGAGGAATACTGCTCTGAGCACCCGGTATTTCCATATTCACCTTTCCGTACGTAATAAGATACGCCCTCTTCCAATTTCGACGAAATAAATAGGAGTATGTGAGCATTATGAGATTACCGTAAGCCGCAAGGCATCAAACAATAACCAGTACTTTTCGAATTATCTTAAAAACAAATAATTTTATCGGAATTTTACAAAAATCAAAAAATACTCAAAAATGATTGAACACATGAAGAAAAATAGATAGGAAGTCATTAGCGCACGTACAAAAAAATATGGGGGTAAGTGTGTACTTGACCCCCAGTATTTTGAATATTTGACAGTTATTTTCTGTTTTGTTTTCCTCACACGATGTAACTCTTTGTGCTGAAGTAATGTACCTATTTTGAAATTAATATCTCATTAATTACGCGAGTAATTAGAAAAAAACAGTTTTTAATTTTCAACTTTGACACCCTGTATATCGAATAAGAAGGGCTAAAATGAAAAATGGTATTTAGAAACTCATATTATTTTTGTTCAAGGAATATATGGTTAATGGATTGACCTCCTTTTAGCGGACACACTGTATAACTCGATAACGGCAGACTTATTCAAATTCGCTACATGAATTATACTTCAGAATCCACAATAATTCCTGACGGAAAGTTATGTCAGACCATTTTTCCATTGGCGTAGTAAGGGTGTATAATTGAATAATTCTGCAAAAACACATGGGTGGCAATGGAAATTCCCGGAATTTTATGCTCGAATTAATATCAAAAAAAGTTCTGCAAGGTCAAAAACCAAAATTGCAGATATTAGATATCAGTTTTTTTCAGTCATATACGTGTCTCATTTCAATCGGCCCCCCTCCTCTATAGCTCAGCGCAGTCGTGCGATCGTTACCAAATTTGTATGGGTATGAATAATCATCAATATGACCAGTTCTTCAAACACAAACATCATTTCAGACAGTGCCGTGCATTTTTATTGATATGAATAAGGGTCAGTATTTTATTAAATCATATTAGACATTTTTTCACAGGAAAACTGACCTCATAATATTGTTCTTCATGGTTTAAAACATATGTGGATTCATAAGATGCCTATGAAGAGTTTCAGAAAAACAGGCACATCTAAACAGCATTTTTGCGAACGTAATATAATTGTTTACTCGGATACGGTGAGTTCAACATAAAAAAGTTTTTCCTTCCAAATCATGATTTTCCACCTACCGGAGCCATTGAACGTTCCAAAATTCGTAGTTAATTTGAAGTCACTATTTATTCGAGACTGAAAATGAAAAAAATGAAGCCAATATCCTGTTAATTCGGAATTAGGTGATTTTTTGCATATGGTGGTTCGAAAGCATGAGGAACAATAATATGAGGTTGGATTTCATGTAAAAAATGCCTAATATGATTTTATGAAAAATCGACCCCTTTTTCTGTCAATAAAAACGCACGGCACTGTCAAAAATAATGTTAATCTCTGTAAAAATGATCATATTGATGGTTATTCATACCACACCAAATTTGGTTGGAATAGCATGACTAATAACTGAGGTATAGAGGGTGGGCCGTTTAAAGTGAGACACGCTGTATGTCAAAGAATTTGACAGAGTTCCTAAGAAATAATAAAACTATATTGTCATCATAGACACCAATTTCTTTTTTTTTTCACTTCCAAGATTTATGTCCATCTCCTGGATCGAAATGGACATCCATCCATCCATTTGATGTCTCTCTGGACATAATCGGACGTCCAATGGATATTCGTTATGTCCATTGTGGACATCCATCGGACATCCAGTGTATGTATAGGGTTTCTCAATAAGAACGCTCGATCTTTAAAGTGTTATGAAAAATAAAGCATAAATAAAACTGACATAATTCAATATTTATTTTGAAGCATATGTAACTACATTATGTTTTAAAAATTATGTCACTTAAATATCCGCCGCGGCTTTGCCTGGTGAGTCGAATTCTGCGAGTCCAATTTTCGATGACCTGATTGCACAGATGTGGCTCAATCGCTGCAATTTCGCGCCTGATGTTGACTTTAAGGGCGTCAACCGAGATCTTACTCTTCGCTGCGTACAGGAGTTCTTTGATCTGCCACTGAACCAGTTCCATAAAATTTGTTCATTGAACGGCGAATTGAGGACTCTGCAGGACGATCATTAGCACCATAAATTGCGTGAAGTGCGCGGAATGTTTGCCGAACGGAACATTGGTTTTGGTAATAAATTTTGACGATTTCGACACGCTGTTGAATTGTGTAACGCTCCATGATAAATGTTAAAGCTAACTGAATATTCCTGCCAAAGATAACGCCTGTGTGACTTTCGACCTTGTAATGCGCTGTTGCCAAAGATCGAGCGTTCTTATTGGGAAACTCTTTACGTGTTATATGGGTAAATCGACTGCAATAAATGTCCTTTTTTTAATGGATACACCGACCGTCCGAAGCCTGGCCGGACAGCTAGTTTGTAATATGTGTATAAAAAATTATGACGATTTTCAAACAAAAGTATGTATATTTATGAAACAATTTATTATTAATAATTGAAAAATCCTATAATTTATCACTACCTATCGCACATTAGCTTGCAGAACTTTCCTGGAAAGCCTCATCAGTCCTGAAACGGGATCCCTCCCGAAATATTTCACTTGTAATTCTTGACCGATTTCCAGTCCTAGGGCCGAAGGATGAGCCACCTGAAATAAAATTCTACAGATGAATGATTTTCAATACTTTACAATATTAAAAACGATAGAATAATATTAAGTTTTCATAATGACAAATTAGCATTCTGTTAAAACCTCATTATTTTAATGACTTGATTAGGTTTTCAGAGTTTGGCTGGATCAAGGAGTAAGTAATTCACTGAGCAACCTGAACCCTTGCCAGAAATACACGAAATTAGTTGTAACGTTTTTGGGAGAAATCTTAAGTTGGAATTAAAACTAGGTTTGGAAAACCTTCTGCACGAATAATGTGTGGTAGATTAAATAAATCACATGTAGTGGACCACATAATGTTCAATCACAATAATAAACAGACAGCGAGAACCTAAAATTGATTGAACCAGTGAATAATTTCAAAAATGATTATAGATAAATACATATGAAAGTCTGGAAATAATTCAGAATAGTGATTGAAGAAATATTTGGCAATTTTTTTTTGACGACCTTCCACAAACAATTTGAAGTAGAAGTCTATATAGAATAAGGATAATCATTTCGGTTTCATCTTTTCCTAAAAATGTCAACATGGTTGACATGGGTCAGTGAAAATATATCGAAAAACATTATATCGAAAGACAAAATATCGAGAACAAAATATCGAAAAACCGAATATCGAATGGAAAAAATATCGAACGGAAAAAATGTCGAACGGAAAAAATATCGAATGGAAAATATATCGAGAATCAAATTATCGATGGAAGAAAATATCGAATAACAAAATATCGAAGAACAAGATATCGACTTCCACCTTTATCAAATTCTCGAGTAGATTTTATAATGTAGGTACATACTTATGTAAAGATGAATTATCCTGAACGAAGAAACCTGTATGAAAAACGTTGAAAAATTGACGCTACCAATTCTGAACAAACTAACCTGTCTTTTTTGAGAATTGTTCGAGGAAGATTAATTCATTATGGATTATGAATACAATACTCTTCATAATATGCATTGATTCGATATAAAAAAAGTAGATACAACTCATAGAACAAAATCACATGAATAATAACCAATTTTCACCTTTTTCCGTTTTTCTATATACCTCGGGAATGTTGAACTGTTCGACTAGTCGGAACTGTCAGGCCTCTATTTTCTTTCTGTCTGATATATCGGATAGTTCTCTTCATACTTCTTATAGAAAAGAACTATCCGATATATCAGACAGAAAGAAAATAGAGGCCTGACAGTTCCGACTAGTCGAACAGAGTTTCCGGCAACATTCGGAATCAGCATTTGCGGAGAATCTTTACTTCTTCTTGCATCTTGCTTCAATTTGTTTATTCCTGTGGTTAATTCGAATTTCGATGGCGTTCCTGTATGGTTGTGATCATTTTTCTCAGTTGCTATTCCATATCTGCACTCATAGCTCTTCCTTTACATCCATTGATTTTCCATTGCTCACATTTCCAATAACTGACGGTGTCTGATTGTTTCTCGCGGGTGTATAAATAACCATTGTGATATAGTTTATTATTTCCCTTCTGGCTAGAAACATATTGAAAATTCGAAGACATTTTGAACCAGCATTCAAATCAACTTATCAAAGTCAGTTGTTTTATTAATTATATTTCCTTTTCGATATCTTGTTATTCGATAATATACTGTGTCGCTATTTTTTCCCTTCGACATTATGTAATTCGATAATATTTCCATTCGCTGTTATGTCAGTCGATATTTCTTCCGTTCGACATTTTTTCCGTTCGATATTTTTTCCATTCGATATTCGGTTTTTCGATATTTTGTTCTCGATATTTTGTCTTTCGATATAATGTTTTTCGATATATTTTCACTGACCCGGTTGACATAACGAATAATAATAATAATATATGTCAAGATGTTCAAAGCAATGAAGTGTTGCCGACCTGTGAATTCAAGAAACATTTTATAGTCACCTGAAATTATTCAATGACTATTTCACTCTTGTTCTCGAGAACAAAATCAAAAATCGACCGTTTCCACGGATTCTCCTGTATTTCAGAGATATTTTTTGTTAACCAAATTTCATCGAACTTCCTCTACCAATACAGAAGCCGAATTGACCCACACGTGACCAACCAACCTCGTTTTTAAGCGATACACTTTTTGACATTTAAAACTTCAATCATGTTGGAAGCCAGAATGATGGATGTAGTGTGAGCAACTATCGCGAGGCGCTCCTTCATTGCCTGAATCATGAAATAGTCATACAAATACAAATTGCGATTCCATTTTCACCTGTAAATATCCGTCGATTGACATACTCTCCAATTTCACTCATGGCATTGTTCCAAAACTTCTCGCCTACAGCTAGAAAAAGTTTTCATTCGCAAAATTATTAGGCAACCAGCTGTCATAACAATCGCCGAATAATTCCGGTAAAAAATAAGTATCACTTGTCGTATTAGATAATGAAGAAAAAATCGATATAGGTACGGTGAAAGTCAAACTTGCCTTTCTCTGATCCAATTGGGAATTGTGCAGCAAAGCGGGCGGCATGCCCGCATACAGGGTGACCATAACACCGATGTCTCTCAGTTCGACGATGGTCGCTTTGTAAATGCCGCCGAATTCCAAATCGGGCGCCCTTTCGGTGGTCAGCCATTTTTTGATGATCTCTTCTGCCTCGTCCATCGCGCTCTGACTAGGCGCGAACACATCGAACGTGCTATCATCTATTTGAGACACCTACGACTTGGGGGTTTAATGTGATTGTTTCGCATAAGTTGGCGAATTGCGGCAGAATTTTGAACTGTATGAAACGTGAACGTTTTAATAACTTTTGAACTCACATGGACACCTGTTTCGGCAAACAACTTCTTCAAATTGATTCCGCCTACTCCTAGCAACCTAGATCTTTTGTGTGCTTCCACTTCAATTTTTTTGCTGACCGGCCAATTGTCTTTTTTCATAGATCTGAAATTTATATAACCAGGTGACGATTTGAAAACTAGCAGCACTCAATATTGCTTCTACTGATGACACTATGAGAATTTGGCGAGACATTTCAATTCATACATCGAGGGGGACATATTTTAAGGTATTTGCTGTTATATTATATTCAACCCCTTCGCCGTTAGGGCAACTACCCCCATAATTTCAGATAGCAACCCCACTTATTTTGTTATTTCCGAAATCCTCATGTGATTACAGTTAAGTTACATCTATTTTTAA